ATTAGATGGATGAAAGAAATAGATGTTTTGCCTAACACTTTTTCAGGTCATAGTCCTATCTTGTTGCAATTGGAAATGGGAAGTAAATCTTTATATTGGAGATTAAATACAACCCTTTAAAAATGATATCTTCACAAAACAAATTAAAGAGATAGATATATTTTTCATACTTAATATGCTTCCAGAAACATCAATAGTTACAGTATGGGAAGCAAGTAAAGAATAATGAGAATTGCAGCAAGACAAAGAGAGAGAAAGAATGGCAAAATATAAAGAAGTATGGGAAGCAAGTAAAGAATAATGAGAACTGCAGCAAGACAAAGAGAGAGAGAGAATGGCAAAATATAAAGAGCTAGAAAATATATTGTTTTTCTGTGAAAGACAGTTAAAGCAAAACCCAAGCAAGAAACAATTGAGGAGGATGAGGATAAAATTAACACAACATTAATTGAATATTTAGATGACAGAAGAAATGGCAAAAAGGATAAAATTTGCAACACAAAATTTTTTTGAAAATGCAAATAAACCAGGAAGGTGGTTGGCATATAAACTACTTAAAGAAATAGGAAAATCCATAATTCAGAACCTGAAAGATGAGGAAGGAGTGATAAAATTTAGACAGGAAGAAATAAAGAGGATCGTAGAGAAATTCTATCAAAACATGTATCAGGAAAAGGAGATCTCCAAAGAGAAACAGAGAGAATATCTGGGGAAACACAACAATATAAAGTTGAACAGAAGCAGATTTTGAATGAGCCATTTTAGCTTAATGAAATAGTAGAAGCTTTCAGGAAGCAAAGGAATGGGAAATCTCCAGGAGGAGATACGATTCTGGTAGAATATTACAAAACTTTTGAGGATATACTATTTAAAGCAGGGGTCTCAAACATGCGGCCCAGGGGCCATTTGCAGCCCCCAGATGATAGTTTGTGGCCCTCGCCTTACCTGCCCCCCCAAGCGCCCACACATCCTCTGCTGTCAAGAGTAAATAAAAAGCCTTGCCTCGCTCGCCGGCTCTCCCCCAAGACAGCACCTCTTGCACCCTCCATCCAGAACTGCAGCCTGCCAGCCAGCCCACCTGTCTGTCGGCTAAGGAAACTCCTGGGCGGTTTCCTCGGGCTCTTGCTCCGCTTGGCGGAAAATCTGATGCGGCCCAGCCTCACCCAGCCTCTGCCTCTAGCGGCCCCCAGATAAATTGAGTTGAAAACCCCTGATTTAAAGCATATAAAAATTATCAGAAGCTATAGATCAAGAGCTGCAGCCTGCCAGCCAGCCCACCTGTCTGTCGGCTAAGGAAACTCCTGGGCGGTTTCCTCGGGCTCTTGCTCCGCTTGGCGGAAAATCTGATGCGGCCCAGCCTCACCCAGCCTCTGCCTCTAGCGGCCCCCAGATAAATTGAGTTGAAAACCCCTGATTTAAAGCATATAAAAATTATCAGAAGCTATAGATCAAGAGGGGATAATCAATTGAGTTTAAAACCCCTGATTTAAAGCATATAAAAAATTATCAGGAGCTATAGATCAAGAAGGGATAATCCTGCCAACATGGACAGAAGCATTAATTACCACCATTCACAAAGAAGGAAAAGATACTATGGAAATTAAAAACTATAAACCAATATCACTCTTAAATGTGGATTATAAAATTTATGCTACAATATTAGCAACCAGATTGAAAAAGGTTCTCACACAAATAGATCACAATGATCCATCCAGCTTCCTACCAAAGAGAAAAATAAGAAATAATCTTACAATGATTTTAAACATGTTTGAATATTATGAAGTGCCTCCAGTGAAATCAATGGCTATGATATTTTTAGATCCAGAAAAAACATTTGACAATCTGAACTGGAGTTTTATGATACAACAACTAGAATTGATGAACATGCGGGAAAGATTTAGCATGTTAATAAAGACTGTTTATACTAAACAAAAAGCCCAAATCAAAATTAATGGAGACTTTACAAAAGACATTCAAATACAAAGTTGTCCATTATCTCCATTATTATATAGACTCTCATTGGAACTTCTCAATGAGCAAATAAGGATTAGCAAAAACATAAGAGGGTTAAAAATAAGGGGAGAAGAATATAAATTACAGGCATTTGCTGATTATTTTTGTATTTTGGAAGAACCCAAGATAGTGGAAGTGGCAGAGAATGGATGTACTAACAGAAGCATTAAATGAAAAGTCATCTCAAAAAGAACTCAAAAACTGGGAACGATTTTATAATTGGACTCAAAATATGGATTGGAATGTACAGATACATGAAGAATGTGAAGGTCCAAGAGAATGATTAATAACTATAGAAACTCTGGTAAAAATTGCTAAATTGTTTCTTTTTGTGGTTTTCCTCTTTAGTGGATGTAAGAATACTTTTTCTCTCTCTGAATTTTTACCCCTTTCCCTACTCTATTCCCCCTTTACCCCCTACTCCAATCCCTATTCCCATTGAGAAGGAATAAAATATTTCTGGGGGAAAAAGACAGAAAAAGCATTTTTGTGGCTGCCAGTCGGAGTGATTTTTCACATGAACTCAACACATTCTCTGTGTAAGCTATGGCAAGAGCCCAAAGAAAGAAGCCAATTCTCAGCACTGCTTTGAATAATCTTACTCTGACAGCAGATTAAAAATAAACTGAGGAAAATAGACAGGACATGCTGGATCATGCATGGTATAAGAGTGGGCAGGACTCCTACCAAAATGCTCAGCTCTATACGTTTCAGAGATATCTTCTTCCAGAAACTATGTATGTGTCACAACAATCATAATCTACTTCATTCCACTCAGTTGCTTAAATTATGAATATGAAGTTCACAATACATAAAGGCTGACAATTCTGCTTGACAAAGGGTAACACTGGAATAGAAATGTGACAGGCTCTTGTTACCATTCCCTGTGAAGAAGGAAATACTTGCCTAGCTCAAAGACTCAGAATAGGTTACAATTTAATTTAAAAAATACACAAAAACAGCCAGCAAGTGAAAACATCCATTTTTATATTAGACTAATTCACTGGAAACATGGATACTTAGCCTTTTATTAGTAAAATTCCTAATGGTCCACTTAGGAGAAAATAATCTGTCAGTTTCACTTTCTTCCACAATTTTTTAAATCTCATTTTTAAAATCTCAAATATGGAAAAACATGCACATTTTAAGAAATTCTTATCAAATCTAAATTGAAATAGTTGGCCAAGTTCCATGCACATAATTATGGAAAGCACTATGCTGTATCCCTTCTGCTAAATTGTGATGTACCAGCAGGAAAAACAGGCAGCACCCCTAATTGGCACTACTATTGTTCTCAGACTACAACACAGAAGAATCGAAAAGCCAAAAGATGGTAAGAATTTTGCAGAAAAAAAAGACAAGGAAGCCTTAACATTTTCTTCACCATTTGAGCTTCTTGCTGCACCCATTTCAGATAAAGAAGTACTGCACAGTAGCTACTTAATTTCACCGCATGGTGGCTATAGCCTTCTATATCAGTCAATTACAGATGAGGCAGACACAGCCAACCCACATATCTGTGGCTTGGGAGATATAATACATTTACTTTCTTGACAAAGTAGAATTCAAATCTTTTAATGTCTGGGAAAGAAGGATGATTATTTCTGAGTGTGCGTTTGTCTGTACATGTGCACAGAGGTTAATCCCCACTTTTTTCATTTTAAAACAGAATGCCCACATACACTAGGAGAAATCCTTTTGTCTGTGAAACAAGAACAAGAACACACTCTTAAAACTGTAAGTTAAAGTGACACCAATAATGAAGCTGAAAAACAATACTTTATTGTTGATTTTCAAAGAAAAGCTTCACAGAATCATAAGAGGGAAGTCCCTCAGTGCCTTCCCTTTAGAATTTCCTTCAAAAGCAGAAGCTGTAAAACTGTGCTTCTATGTTTCCCAATAACAGTTTCAGATGTACAAAATGTGAGCATCTCCCTCTGTTTACCAGCAGTTAGCACCCTAAATTGCTCCACAATCCAAACCTCAGTTTTCCACACTGGGGTACATTTACACCGATATTCTAATACTTGATTGTAAAGCAGAATGAACGGGTATGTTATGCATTCCAAAGCAGGCTTCATCGCCACCCGTTACTCTGACCTAGATAACTAAGCTTGCTTTCTGCTGCTCACATGGTTACTTCTCTCAGACTCTGGCAGTTCAATCATTAATGAACCCACTGCAATCTATTGCCAGTGGCAACACATTTTAAATGTGTTTCCTCCCTCTTTTTATTCTCAGTTCTCAAAAGCAGGCTTTTAAAAAACTAGGATCATTATAGGGATATGCACACATTGAGAATTTGGAAACACACAAATTTAGTTGGTAAAGTTGGTAAAGATTCAAGGTCAGTATTTAATTGCACAGTTATTAGGAAGCGTGAAAACTATTAATTTTAACACAGTGATCAGAGTGTTGGACTCTGACTTCAGGCATTCAGGTTTTAATTCCTCACTGGACCATGAAAGTCAGTGAGATATCTTAGGTTAATCACACTGTCTGAGTTTGACTATCTGACAGGATTCTTGTGAGGATACAATTGGGGGGGGGGAGTTATATATGCCATGTTGAAATCACAGGAAAAAAAGCCTGAAAATAAATGTAACTAATGAACAAATACAAGCACAACCATGTTGAGTTGTGCATAATAATTTCATTGGGTCTTGGGCAAAAGCACTTTCAAGTAAAATATGTGAAAACCGGGAAGTAATAAGTTGATGTTCTCCCCACTGGCATTATACATACATCATTTTATTTGAGACCTGAAAGAAAGAAACATTTACAGTTTTCTAACAATTCACATTGAAACATTAATTGCAAACTGACTGTCCCTTTTGCAAGTGATAGTTCAGCCCATTGAACTTCTGGTCATATTGTATGAGGAACAGCAAAAAACAGAAAAACATGAACTACTTACGATCTGCTAATGCGCCACAAAAGCCTAAGCTTTAAAACCTAAATGTTATCACACAGAAGAGAATACATACCTTCCTCCGGTGAGATGGCACAATGAAAAAGGTTTCAATATTATGCTTCTTCAAAAAACTGTTCCTTTCATGGCCGTACCCTGGTTCTACTTCATAGTCACCATTTAGGCACTCTAAGGTGGTCTTTGTTATATGCACTTTCCTAGAGTGGAAGCAGAGAGAGTGAGAGCAGGTGTTTAATACCATGGTAAATGACAGACTAATATAATGGTTACTGAATGTACTTTCTATACTGGCACCAAATACTACTTTCTAAAATTAATTAATTAATGTATTTATGCATTTATGCATTTATGCATTTATGCATTTACTTACTTACTTACTTACTTACTTACTTACTTACTTACTTACTTACTTACTTACTTACTATACCACCCATCAGACAAATAGTCATTCTGGGTGATTCACAGCAACAACAGTGACACAAAAGAACACATAACATAAATATAAGGTAATTAGTGTAGTAAAGTTAAACTAAATTATCATAAAATATTAAAAAACATATTAAAAGAGCAAGAATTAGTATAAGAGGCTGTTTACTTCTCCAGAATGCAATGACCCAAATCCTGTTAGTTAACATAGCAAGCAACAACTAGAACAGGGCCATTTGAATCACTGGAACTTCTAGAAAAGTTCACTTACCAAATTCCCTTTGATTAAATGGCCCTATTCTTGTATGATTTGATATTCTAAGCAACAGGATTTCAACATCTAAAAATTGGTGTCAAACACCAACCTAAATGTTTCCCACAACTAGCTTGTCTCATTTGCACAACGTAACCCTGTACAAAATCTCTGAAAATTTGAGTGCCCAGGCAAATACAAAAGAATGATTGTTAGTGTGTGATATGATCCAAATCATTGCTCTGACTAGATGCTTAAGAATTAATGTGGTTCATAGTAAATTACTAGCCTGCTATCTTGAGACTTACCCAGGCAATCCTCCAGCCTCCATTACATTGGCAAGAGTCACATCATTTGACCAAACATCATACTGCCATTTGCGAAGGCCTAGGACACCACAAAGGACTCTTCCTGTGTGCAGACCAACCCTCATATTGAGATCGACTTCAGTGGCTTCAGCTACTGATCTGGAATTAAATGAATTTGAACGTTTCAATCAGAAAACTGCATTCATATGTCATCATTCTACCCTTCCTCCTGTTCCAGACTACTTCAGCATACAGGGGAACCTCTACTTACGAACGTCCCTACCTATGAACATTTCAACTTATGAACAGCTCCGTTCACAAAATTTTGCTTCTATTTGTGAACGGAGCTTCAATGTATAAACGGAAAAAGGCAAGGGAAAAGGGCGGAAAATTTGAATTTGCTAACCATTGGTGGTGAAGAGGCTGCTTCTTTGTAGCTCTTTTGCCTCAACATTTAGGAAAAGGGAGGCTCAGCCTCCCCGGGGTCCCTCAGCACCATGATCGCCGCCTTTGGAGGCCTCCCAGGGCTTCCCCACCACCATCGGAGACCTCTCGGGGGTCCCTCGTCACCGCAATTGCCACCTTTGGTGGGGGAAGACTGTTACATTATACTGAGATTCATGATACAGTGGAGCCTCTAATTAAGGAATTAATCCGTATTGGAACGTGTCTGCAAGTCGAAAAGTCTGTAGGTCGAATCTCTATTGACCTACAATGCATTGAAAACTGATTAATCCCATAACTGGCAGTTTTTATTCTATTTTTGGTCCATTTCGGTTTTTTTCTGGTCTGTAGGTCGATTCTCTGGCTGCAAGTCGAATCTAAATTTTGTGGCCCGAGAAGTCTGTAACTCGAAAAGTCTGTAAGTCGAGCCGTCTGTAAGTCGAGGGTCCACTGTACTAAGAAACCTATTGGCCCTGCATGGGGGAGTCTCATGTAGTGATTATACAAAGAAGTTCCAGTTATGTTTTTAGTTCAATCCAAATTCATCAGACTTTCAGAGACAAATTCTGGGAATGTATCATTTTGTTCCCAAGGCAAGAAAGCTTTCCTGAGGTCTGTATTACTGATGCCTAAGAGGGCACCAATATATTGTGCTCACAGCAGAATTCAGCATTACATAAGCCAACTAAAAAAATTGCGGTACCCTAAACAAAGCAATTATAAAAATTATGAAACTGGACCTCATATCAGCACCAATGTTGGCACACATGTAGCAGAAAGTGTTCTCTTGCTCTGTGTCAAATGTGGAGTCATTTGGGCAATAATGTCTTTTCCATTATGTTTTGGTCAGATCCTGCGAACCAATGGCTGTGGTTTCCTTTACTGAGTCAACCTTTCTCATGTTAGATCATCCTCTTTGTCTACTGGCCCACCCCACTTTCCCAGCAATATATTACATTCTGGTCATGTCTGCATTTCCATTATACAGTATGTGCATGATAGGATAGGCTCAGATTACTCATTTTTGTTCAAGTTAATTCAGGCTTGACTTGATTGAGCACTTACTTTTCTGCTTTTCTGGCTGTCTTTTATATCTGTATGGCTCTCCTCCAACACCATGTTTCCAATGAGTTGATTTTTGTCCCTGTCTTTCCTCACTGTCTTTCTTTCACATAGTATGGGTGATTTTGACCTTGGTTTCTAGTGACATTCTTTGCTACCTCCAACATCCACCTTTTTTAAAATTTCAAAAAGCAATATTTTTCTTTTGGAAAACATGCACACAATATATCCATAGAACTTTTGCTACAAAATAGCTTTTCTTCTTCAGCTCGCCTAACTCAAAGAAAGGGATTGGAAATTGGAATACAGCTTTCCAAGTCTACATTTGGTGGAACAGGCATGGCAGCATTAGTTTAACCAAGAGGTTAAATGGTTTGTATTAGAGATGGACATGAACCTCGGTTTGGAAAAAGGATTCCTACCAAGCAACGGTTTGCAATGTAAAGCTTGGGATCCTTTTTCATGCTGGCACTGTGGCCACAATGTTGTGCAGCAATATTGGGCCACTTCTTGGATTTTTGAATTATGTGTAAAGAAGAACAGTATCCCACATTCATAAACCAGAGGATTTTTGAAAAATTGAATTTTTTACTACTTCAGGGTGATTACACTTACAGAAAACTCTGCTTTTGAATTGCATTAAACAGGTTTGAAACTGATTTTAAAATATCCACTTACACACACATACAGCTCAGTATGCTTCCCCTACACCCTGGAAAGGGAGTTATTTTAAACTGCCAGGATAGGCTTGTTTATTTTAATATGATAGTGAATCTGATTTGGATCACTTGTATGTGCAAATACCTGTGTCAGAATATTAATTGTGTCTCAGTGGTCTACTGAAATGAGTGCAAAAAGCAGGAAAATGAATTACCCGTATTTTTCGCACCATAAGACACACTTTTTCCCCCACAAAACAGGGGGGGTGGAAAGTCTGTGCATCTTATGGAGCGAAGAAAACAGATTATATTTTCCTGTTTTCTTCTCCTAAAAAATTGGTGCGTCTTATGGAAAGGTGTGTCTTATGGAGCGAAAACAGTATTTTACCTCTCTTTTACCACCCATTTTTCCTTCAGGTAAGAATGCAAATCAGAGACTAGCAGAGTGGAAGAAGGGGATATGATGCAGATGGCCATAAAGAAAGCAGCTCCAGGAGGCAAAAGAGCAAAGCAGAAGGAAAGGCAAGATGGAAATTCAGAAGATGGCAGGCAGGCAGGCATATGTGAACACGCAAACACTGGGAAGAAGGAAAAAGACCTGATGACTCACAAGTGCTGGTTGGCTTCCTAGTATTGAAAGGCACATCCAATCCCATCCATCTGCCTTAATTTTCTCATCTACACAACCTGCCCCTACAGCTGCAGAAGCAGTGAGGCAAGGCCTTCCTTTGGCCAGTGAAGCAAAAGAGACAGCAGCTTAGCTCCTTCTGCAGCACTTTCATGCCATGCCGTGACCTGCAGCCTTTTCATGCATCACCCTCACCCTACTGCCCCTCCTTAACCAGCACCCTTCTGTGCCATACTCTGACCCACAGCTTTTCAGTGCTGCATCCTTAGCCCTTCTTTCCTGCTCCCCTGCTGAAAATGTTTATTGTATCACTTATTGACACTTAATGCATACCCCCCCAGCCAACTCATAGCACTGAACCCATGGAGTAGCCAGCCCAGGGGCAGACTTGGAAGGTTGATGGGGGCATAAAAGGCTGTAAACTGTAAGGGGCCTCTTATACATTTTAAATACAGCATTCTGCTATAACCTCTTACAACATGTGATAGCAGTGTCAGTGTATCAGTAGCCTCTTATAATATTTGATGAGAGTAGCGTTCTGGTATAACCTTGAATTAGCCTCTAATAACTTGTGAATGTACTGCTACACACTGCCAAGCAATCTAGGTTGTGGAGGGCCCTGCTGCAGACTGTCAACTATTATTTTTGGGAAGGACATCTGTTACACTTGCTGATTAATTGGGGGGGATCTGCTACACCACGGTGCCAGTTAATTTGGGGGAATCCTCTGCACTCTGCTATTTAATGAGGGTAGGGAAATTCACTGCACATGTTTGGGATTTGGGAGACCTTTGGTCAGCCTTTGCATCAGGATCCACAATCCTGAAGCTATGGCTCTGGGCAATTCCCCCCATCTTCACTCCCACCTTGTCTCAGCAGCAGAGAGGAGGGCAGAACTCCACTTACAGATCCTGCACCTCTCTGTGGGAGTACCCCCTTATCTCTGCCTTCCCTGGTATTATGAGGATAATACAGTTTTATGCCAGTTGAAAAGGATGGTTGCATACTGCTGGGATCATCCACAAGAAACTTTATTGAATACAAGGTTCTGCCATGGTATTTTGTCTGAGTAGTCTCCAATTAAGTTTCTTGTGGATGATACCAGCAGTGTGCAATCCTTCTTTTCAGACTTGCATCATCTGCTAAAGGAGTGTGAGTGGGCTCCATGCCATTCTGCATCTGCCCTTCGCTGCACTACAACGGCTACATACCACGGCAGGTGGAGTGGTGCACTTTGGATATACTGGCCCATTCTATGTCACTTTACAGAGGTATGGGGATCAAATACCCTTAAAACGTCCAAGAAAAGAAAGGTTGATGCAGAAGGAAGACAATTTAATGAGATATGGGAAAGCTAATACATGTTTGTGCTTAAAGGAGACAAGCAAGTATGTCTTCTTTGCTACAATGCAGTGGTAGTGGTGAAGGAATATAATTTATATAGGCAATTTGAGACCTAACACGGAGCCAAGTATGCTAACCTTAGCCACCAAGAAAGGCAACAAAAGGTCAGAGAATTAAAAGGCAGCCTGCATTCTCAACAAAATATTTTTGCAAAAATGATCGCAAAAAAAGATGCAGCAGTGAAAACCAGCTTTGTTGTATGTATGTATGTATGTATGTATGTATGTATGTATGTATGTATGTATGTATGTATGTATGTATGTATGTATTTATTTATTTATTTATTTATTTATTTATTTATTTATTTATTTA